GCCTGGGGTTTACGACGATGACGACGCACTGCGCCTCGCCTCAGGCCTCGCTCGGCTGGCACTGCCTCGCGAATGCGTCCAACAGGTGCGGGTCGAGGAACGCTGAGAAATAAAAGGGAAGGGAGGGAGCCGGGGGGGGGGGGAAGCAGCGAGGTTTCGATGTCGCGGTCTCGCTAATGAATGCGGGACGACAGGGGGGAGGGGCGCCGTGAGAACATTGAGGACACTAGACCCGCGCTCCGCACCCCCCCCCCCTCCCTCTCGCCCCCCTTCTTGCACTTAAGAGTAAGAGAGGGCACAGTTCATCGCACATCGCGCTGCTTTGCCCACCTGTCTTTCAAAAACAAACATCAAAGACAAGCGCAAGCCCAATACTGAAAACTGCCATCAGGCGGGGTTCAAGAGTAATTGCATAACTACCTGGATGTAACTGGAGAACTGGGTCAGGATATAATTTGATAGGTGCTCTGATAGGAGATCTTCCATCACTCATCCTGAATATATTCAACATAGTAGAACACTCGGTACACTCGGTATACTCAATGAGAATTTGTACACATGAAAGCTATAAGCCAAATCCTGTAGGTTTTTTCCCCGCTTTAGTTGTTTGACCCTGGCCTACCCTCGGCCCCCCAACTGCGATTGTGTCGTGTGGTTTGCCAGCGTGGCATCGTGCGGGCGTGGCGGCGCGGGGCGTGTCCGGTGCGGCGCGGGTTTTTTAGGGGCTGTTCGCCGTCCTTAACGGCGCCGCCCGTCGGTTGTTAGCGCATCGCTCGCACGGCTGCGGTCTATATTCTACTGTATTGAGCTTGGTCGGCGCACTGCCACCCCCCACGCCCCACCCCGCCACGCCACGAGAGCCACGACGACGACGCGATCCACCTGACTGCGCCCAACCTAATGTGTCCGTCATTACAGCCTTATTGGGGAGCTTTGTCGTGGAGGTCGTTTGGGTGGCGTGACCTTCCATGTGCTCTCCTATGCGGTCTGCCCACGCTGCTGACTGAAGCAGGCCACTTTAGCAGTGTGCCTCCCTCTCCGAATACTGTACCACAAGACTTTGGGAGGATAGCGGAGCAGGATAGACTTTGATCGTGAAAAATAATAATGTCAAAGCATCATCATCATCAGCTTTACAATCATGGCGCATGTGTCGTGTCTCGGTGTGTGCCCCCGGGTCACGGCCCGAGCCTTGGTGTGGCGCCAGCCCGGCCCAGAGGCCCGGCCCGTCACGCATGAGCACGTGCTCCTATCCGGCCCGGTCCTCGCCGATAGCTCCGCCGACTTCGCCGATCGGATGGGAGGGGAAGCCTAAGGCTTCAAGCCTTGCCCACGGCCCGTCTGCCGGCCGCCTGGTGCTGCCAAAGTGACGCACGCCACTCTGCTCTGTACCAGATTGTAGAGGCGATACCCATCATCAGGACGGGCATGGTGCTCCATGGCAGCCGAGGCGCGGCGCGGCGTGGCGCCAGGCGTCGCGGGGCGGGGCAATGGCGTGGCGATGGCGCGGCGCCGG